GGCCCTGGCACCGTGCTCAGCAAGAGGAGGAGGAGGAGCAGGAGAGGGAGGAGCCTGCATTTAGCACCAGGCCTTCAGCCGGGCAGGGGCCCAGCACTGCTCAAAATAAATCGGTGTGTGCTCGTCATGAGCAGCCCTGGAACCTTCTGTCTGTCTGGAGTGCCAGGTTTGCCCCAGCAGGCAGCCCCACGCCCCAGCCTCCCACCCCTCCTCCTCTGCAGCAGGTGGGAGAGAGTTTGAGGGGGGAAAATGTAAAATTTTGGTGTTGAGCTAAAGACAATTTAATAAGAAAGTAACAATAACGACAGAAGAACTGGAATACAGAGAAGCAGTGATGCACAGTGCAGCTGCTCCCTCCCAGCTAGCTCCTGAGCAGCTGCCCCTGCCCATGCCCTGAGCATGCCATGCCACCCTGGGGCCTGGGGCAGGGCTCTGCCCGGCTGGCATCAGCTGTCCTGGCTGTCCCCCTCCCCTCATGCCCACAGGGCAGGGAGAGGGGCTGAGGAGGCCTCGACCACCACTCAGCAGCCCCTCAACCATCCCTGTGCTCCCAGCACCACTCCCATGTCAGACCCCAGCCGCAGAGCTGCTGGTGTGACCTCCCTCCAGGGCCCAGCAGGGGCTGCACCGTGCCAGCCTGGGCACCAACGGGCCCTGGGGCCCCGAGCCTGCTGCACACCCACAACCTGCTGCTGCTGGTAGGAAGCAGGGGTGCCCCTCAGGCTCTGGGCAGCACCAGCACTCGTGCTGACCCCAGCCCGGGGAGATGTGGGGTGTGACTGTAACACTGCCCAGGGACTGACCCACACCGACCCACAGGCTCTGTCCTGACAGCTCCACACACACTGCATACACCACGTAGCACACTGAGGGGTGGCACAATCCCAGTGCCCCCCCAGGACCCCACACTGCCAGTGCACACTGCTCTGCTGCCAGTTTTTCCTTACTGCAAAGTGATTTAGGATCAGGCAACTTCTTTCCCTTTTTTTTTTGTTCTGTTTTTACAATTGTGCTGTTGGAAACATCCAGAGAATGAAAACTGCTGTGGACGAGCCCAAGACGAGCCCAGTTCTCTGCCTGGGTTTCACTGCAGGAGGGTGACTGGAGGACACAGGAGCTGCACCCCTGGTGTGGAGCAGAGGGAGGAGAAGGTCTGAACCAGTCCTGCTGAGCCAGACCTGCACCTGCAGCCCCTGCCACAGCAGCAGCATGAGCTGGCTCAGAGCCCTGGGCCCCCCCTGCCCCACTGGACACGGAGTCCTCCTGAAGGGGAAGTGCAAACAATTCCTTTAAGTATAAAACTGCCTTCTAGTGTCTGAACAGCTGACACCTACCAGAAACAAAACCCAAAACTTACAAAAAATGAGCTTAGGTTGCTATTGTAGTGCTCTCCCTTTCTCTAGCTTGCTTGCTTTGGCCATTTTACAGCTGTCTGTATAGCGTGAGGACACAGGACATCACTCACTGAAAGAAACCTTCAGCAGAGGGCAGGAAATCCTCACAGAGCTATGAAGAAATAAACTCTCCTGTCGTACACATCCAAAGAATCTCGATTAGTAAACTTGAAATTAGCTGGGTTTCTTTGTTTAAAGAAAAAGAAATTCAAGTTGATGAGTGTCTGGGTATCAAAA